CCGCCACGGTCTTCGGGCTGGGCCTCACGTGCTCAGACGCAACAAGAAGCACAGATTGTGCCCAACCAGAAGGCTCGGGTGCAAGCGTAGCATCGGCTTTCCTGGAAGAACATGGCTCTATGGCATGCAGCTGATATGCAGCAATGGCCACAACCGCAAGAACGACGCATGCCTGCTTCCTTCGCCTTTGCCTTCGCCCCCTTTCGCGAAGCCTGGCACGGCGTGCTGCTCGTAAGCGGGATGCAAAGAAAGATCGGATGTCCGCGGCACCTTTACCTCCCTTCTTGCCTTTCGAGTCCTGCAGATTCCAGCTTTGCGCAGACAGAAATCATGCCTCCGGAACATGCGAGCCACTCCTCGGACTTTCCCTTTCCTTTACCCTTGCCCTTCTCTTCGCCTTGCCCCAGCGCTATAAGCTCTCTCTGCCCATGCCCGCACTCCACAGAATGCAAAGAGCCCGGCCGTCGTCGTTGGCACCTTTGCCCTGGCTGGAGTCCCGGCCGGGGTCACCCCTAGCCCCGCGCTGGCAGCAAGAAGACCCAGCCTTCTTCCCAGAGTCTTTGGACTTGCCCTTCTCCTGTCGCGTCTGCCGTGCATGAGCCCCCCGCCCGTCACTGCAATCTCCGCACCTTGCCCTTGCCCTCCTTTGCCTCTCCCTGTCACAGCAACTTCGTGACAGTATTCCCACACACGTTGCCTGTGCCTTGCTGGGCTTCGTGTCCCAGCCCTGCAGGAAACGGACTCGCAGTCACATGTCGGCTCAAAGCACTTCGAGGTGAGGCTCCCACCCAGTCGTTCCAGCTCCACCAGTCGGAGTCTGAGTGAACAAGCTGCCGACCTCCTCCCTGCTCCCCACCCCCCCTTTCGCTAAGGCGTCCGCAGCTGTCGGCCGTCCAGGTCCAACCTCCGAGAGCTGGGATGCGACATGACGGGATATCGCGATATTGATGTGCGCGAGTACGGGAGGTGCGGGCAGACAGACCAAGGCCCACACTCCAGTCCTCCTCCTCAGCTCTGGCCGACTTGCCTGCACAAGATCCCCGAGAAGCACTCCGAGTGCCCCAGAGTCCTCTACCGCGGCCCTCTCCCCTGCCTCCCTTCCGCTTCCCCTCGCCCTTTCGATCGCCCTTGCCCTGAGTCTGTGAAGGAACGTCAAGCGGCGCAGGCGCCAGGCGGAGCGGCAGCTCTCGCACCCTCCTGCGCCTCCTGCGGCTCCTCTTTCTTGGCCCACTTCATCCCTTGTGGGCCTCCGCGGCCACGGCCTGTGCCGGGGGCCCAAAACCCCTCGACACCCCTCTTTCAGCACCGTCACAGCAAAAGCCCTTGAAAGAGGCTCTCTGAGCCTCGCAGAGTCAAAGGGCTCTTTCTTTTTCACTCGAGTGACAAAGAGAAAAAAAGAAGCAAACACCTGCTGTTGTTGCTCTTTTGCTGGGGGCTTCTGCGGCGGCTTCGGCTTCTGGCGGCTAGACTCTTGACATTTGTGAGGATTCGCGTTGCTATGCTCTGCAGCCGTACATGAGCTCACATGCAGCTCGGCAGCTGAAAGCCAGTGGCAACGGGACGCTCGACGATGCTAAAGGGCAGCAGTCTTGCTCAGGGGCTGGTTCGGCTCAAGGCTCAAGGACCCGCTGTCTCCAGCGGGTTAGTTGCCCCGCTGTGCTGTGGAAAAAACATGGCAAATGCCGTGAAAAGTTGCCTACAGAGCTGAGCACAAAGGGCCCATTGAATGAAGATGTGGGCAGAGCTTCTCGAGGCTTGCTCATGTAGCATGCAACGAGAGGCCTTGGGAATCTTTCCGATCATCATGGTGAGAGGCCTGGGGTTGTCAAGCCGACGCTGCACCGGGATTTCATCTAATTTCTTGAGCTTGCTGATCCCCACATGAAGACCCAAAGCACGAAAAGGTATACTCAACACTCAGTTGCAAGCCCATGATTTTCAAGCTCCATACGTACGGACAGTTGAATCTGCCGAACCGGTTCACCGGTCCAAGTGGTCTTCAATGGCATCCAAGGACACCGCCCCACGTTCAACCCAGCTCCGACGCCTGTCTCTTTTTGTGACATGCCAGAATGAGTCACACCGGACTGGCTCACACAAAACATCAACGACACGTCGAGACAGCTCCGCGAATCTGGCATAGGAGAACCATCATGCCACCAGCTGTTTGCAAAGGTCGATTGCCGTGTGGTGCCCGTACCGTGGAAGGCGCACTCTACGCTACGCCACAGATTGCGTCGGCGTAGAATGTCAATCCGTCTTGTGTCAAGCACGACATCCACTCGGATACCCTCACTGTGGCCGGTAGGGACATTGCTTAGGTTACAAATGAGGCTGACGAACTCTTGGAAAAACCAAGTCCAGTGCAACGGCAAGAGCCCCGAGTACTGCCTGCTACGGGGGGCCCCGCAGCGGACAGTGTTGAGATGTGCCAAAGGCATTTGCATCATATGAAAAAGTTCAAGGTGTCTTGGAATATTGATTGGCTCACAGAGCTCAAGGAGGCAGAAATCGTCGATGAAATGTCTCGGCTGGTGATGTATGCCGATGTATGCCGTGTGCAAGAAACCAAAAGATCCTATCTGGTGGTGCTCAGGACAACCAAGACACAGGGTGGTTACAGCGCTTTTCCATCAACCTAAAGAGCAGAGAGAGGGGGGGAAACACACACACCCAACACGCACCCGCACTAGAAGAAAAAGCCATCAACTCGAGGAAGATTGAAATTCTGAAGCAGCATGAGTGAAACGGAACTGAAAACGGGTCTGGGCGGGTGGTCAGCCCGCTGGCAAAAGTACGAATCGAGAACCTCAGAGAGGCTGCGGCAGAAAGCCCACGGGCCGGACATGCTTTTTGAACGCTGGCATGGTCAGCCGCGACGAACTTTGGTCCAATGGGAAGAACCCGCTGGAAGAGAGGACCCAGCACTCTGAGGCTCGCATGGCTATCGCATCTATCGCTTCAGAAGCTGCTGAAAGTCCGCCAGAACCTCAAAAATTCCAGGGGCAGCTCCCCCCTTGAGGCGAAAGGGTTTTAGGGCCAGGAAAAGGCCATGGGCCGGACCTGGTTCCCCTTCAGCGTGTCGGAGAGCCTCGGCTCGAAGATTTCTGGGGGGATAGTGGGGGGCTACTCGAAGGCCCTCGGTTGCCCTCGAAGCGCCCGGCGCCGAAGCGGACTGCAACACTTCCGGCACGAGATCTCGGAGCTCTAGCTGCTCCTGCTCAAAACTGCTCTCCCACTCCCTGTCCGCACGTTCTTCCCCTCGCCTTGCTGAGCTCCCCCTGCGGCGACTTGAGCCATGCCTCCGCACTTCGGGTGCTCATGCCAGTTACTATACTCATGAGATGCCCCACAAAGGGGAACCCGCACGCCCGAGCTTCCGACGTCTCCAGCCGCCAGGAGGCAAGCCGCCAGCTTCACGGCCACGGCAGGATCCCGCAGCACCTGCCAGGTGCCCAAACATCTCAAAAGGAAGAGCCGGACTTGGAACTTGGAAAAAAAAACACGGCCTCGGTGGCTGCAGCGACCTGGCGACAGGTCTGAGCATTGTCTCCGGGATCTAGCCCAAGCATCACCGGCGAGCTTAAGAAGATCGGTGTTGTGATTCGAGGAGCTGCAAACGACAACATGGGGGAGGGGGGTGGTGAACCGTCACTGAGACTTTCAACGCTTCGCATGCGCTCATGTGCTTGAAGTTTTGCATAGTTTTCCGGTACAGATCGCTAGCTGTCAGCCTGAACGAGTCCCACCCGTGGACGAAAAGTTCAGCTGTTAGTGCCATCTTGTCGGCTTGAGTGGGCCCTTCAACAGTAGAGTGTTCGCAACCGCTACTTGTAGCACATTCGCCATCATGCGTCCTCTCGCGCCTTCATTCGCCTCTGCTGCCGATGCACGGAGCAGAAGTCGTGTTGATGAAGAACTTCTGCCACCAGTTCTCCCACCACCCGGCCTGACTCTTCCTACCAGTCAATGGAAGCATAGCAGTCTCACAATTCTGTTGGAGAGACAGCTCAGTATGTTGCAGATGGAGAGCAGCCTGCGTACTCAAGTCCAGAATACACTACAGCAACATGCCACGCAGTCAAGCCTTCCGAGCAAGTACCTCGACAGTGTCACGTCAGGTGAACTCCACAAAGAGTTCCAGGACGGGAGTCGCAGAAGTTGCTTTCAAATCTTGTGCCGGAGAGTTGACGTCACCGAAGTCTAGCTCCAAGTTCGAGACATGAAGGAGTGGACAGCAGCTTTTCAGGAAATGCGTCATTGCAGCCCAAAAAAGAATGCCTGCCAAGCGTTTATCTGTTACCTTCGCTATGCGCGGCTTTGTTCGACGAGAAAGTTTGCCCCAGAGCACAGAGCATACTTCTCGAAGATAGAGTTGTATCCTGGTTGCACGTTCACAAGGCCATCTTGATGTCGGAGACCAAAGTGAGCATTCAGAGACAAGCGAAGCTCTCGCAGAGCTTGGTTTCAGGACTGAAGACGCTGGCCAGACAGGAGCAAGAGAAAGAGCGGAAGCCCAAGCAACGTGATTAGCTTACCAAATTTCGGATGATGGATGTAAGCAAGCTCTTGGCGATGGCAGTGTTGGAGTACTCGACTCTGTCAACCCAGGGCGGAGCACGCAAGGGTACACAGCATGTGGTTCCGAATACCGGTGCCTTGGCCTTCTTTGTCAAACAGTATCCTGATCTTGCCAAGAAGTGCCACATATCCATCGGCAAGCACCGACTCGCGAGGCCGATCAGTGTCTCGCGATGCTTTGGTCAACAATCACAAAGCTTTCAATCTGCTAAGTCGCGGAGCAAGTCCAACAGCAGAGGCAGCAAGTCTTCACACAGAGCAAAGGCATCTAGCACTCACAGCCGGAAGCCATCAAGAGAACGGAGACCATCGCAGCTGCCTCATCGAAGCGAATCCCCACATAAAGGGCGTGGACGCGGCAAAGGCAGAGGTCGTGGTCACCAGCGGAAAGTGCGCATGCAGACTCCAGCAGTTTCCAGGAAGATCTGGACTAGGGTCTCCCCGGAATCCGGGAGAAGAGCCCATAGAAGGAGGTTTTTGGAACGAGACTGGAGCAGAGATCTAGATACAGTCATTCGGCATCGCTTGAAGCTGACGTCCATGGTACAGCTTGAGCGTCGTTATTGCAGACCAGTTCACATTCTCAGTCTCAGTCCGTCAGAACTTGAGATCCTTGCGGTTGTTCGTGCTAAGTTGTCTTATGGAGGCAGGCCCAAAGGCACACACACGGCAGGCACAGCTTCACGATAAAGTCCATGCAGAAGTCAAACCTACACTTTGTATTGTTCGTGGGCTTCCCGATGTGTCACCAAGTCCAGGGGCGCTGCAACATTTTGATGTCTGAAATCCTCTGACTCTTGAACTCCGAGGATGGAGCCTTGGAGTGTTGGGGCGCAAACTATCTTAGAATCTTAGAACCAGAACTCTTATCGACGTGGATCTCCGAGGATGTAGCCTTGGACGGCTGGGGCGCGCTAGCCGTTAGAAGCAAAACTCTGTGGAGTCATGCGTCGCCGCATTGTGTTCGTGGCCGTTATGTCGTGAATGCGGCTTCGCAATGCGCCTGCGCCTACCCCCAATGCGTCTTCGATGCATCTTCGCAATGTGGCAATGTGTCTGCGGTTCCCAATGCGTCTTCGCAATGCGTCTGCGCCACCCAATGCTTGTTCAGAATGCGTCTGCGCCTGCTAATGCGTCTGCGCCCTCCAATGCGTCTTCACCCAATGCGTGAGACCTCTTTTTTGAAGAATGCATCCTCACAATTCGCTTGCAACGCTCCGCCAAGGCCCCACAATGAAGACGGTAGATGCAGCAGTCCCACGATGGCGGGTGAAGACTTAATGCCTCGGACTATTACGTGAAGCTGCACATCCTGTCTCCACCAGTCATCACAAGCAAGCTGCCAGAGATTTGAAATTGGTGCCTGAAAGCTTTCTTAAGCAGCATGATGCATGCTGCAAAGGGGACGCTTCTTCGCACATGTGTCCAGTTCATTCTACAAGGTTTTCAGTCGGACGCAGTTGGTTCTTTCAGACTACGGATCAGACCCGTCATGAACGTTACAGGAGCGTGGACGGCCTCACTATTAATCTTTCTGGTGGAGGCTTTGACCCCAATCATGACAGCTCAGCCTCACGTTGTACAGTCAACTGCGGAAATCCAGCCACCAGCTTGAGGGCATGCTGGTTCTCCCAGGGCTCACTTTTTTATTTCGA